CAGTCCAAACATTTATTCCAAACAAGCCATGAATTGAGGAAAAATATCTGATATTTGTGATGAGTTTGTATTGAAAATCTTTCAATCCGCGATATGCCGACGGGAATAAAATTAGATAAAAACCAAAATAATCTGTCGGTCGACCAAGCAATAGCCAACTAGGAGACTACCTATGATGAAGTCCATTATGATTAGACATTGGTGTTTTTAGTCCGCACGCAACGTTTAGTAGACCACTTGTCTGCTATGGTTTTTTACGAAGATTGTCGTTAATTTAGCAGTGAGACGTGATATGTGGATAGTGTTTCGGCAGTACACGCGAAATATTAAGGAAGCTGCTATAGTTTTGGGTTTGTTGGTCGCAAAGGCGCTTATGATGAAAGAAAAAATCTTACTTCGAAAAGGAATTAAGGTTGCCAGACGTTTCGATAATGCAAAGAGGTATATGTACTTATATTACGAAGAGATTAAAGGCAGAATAAAGATGAGAGGTGTGTGCTAAAAATGAGAGAAAATAACAAATGGAACACGCACAAAGAGAAAAAGAGAAATAGAAGATGAAATGGTAATTCTAAGAAAGCGAAAGAGTGAATGAAAGAGGAAAGAGATTAAACAAAAAAAAAAAACGAAGGAAATAAGGAGAAAAATCCTAACACAGTTAGTTTTAACATCCCCGTGGATTGAAAGAGATCTGTATAAAATAATAAATAAGAGAACGAAATAAAAAAAAAGAAAAGAAAAGAAAAAAAGAAAAGGATTTAACTTAAGTGTATTTAACTTTATCCAATTTTGCTTAATTCCGAACAGTGAATAGTAGAACCTGGCGTAAAAGATATGAATACTAAATAAAAGATAAAGGATAGAATAAAATTCAGATGATTCTCGTTATTTTTATCTCTTAAAGCAAGCAGAGAAAAATAGGAAAAATAAGTCAGAAAATTAATTAAGAAAAGTGCCGTTAAGGAATTCACACGACGCTCGCGAAAGTGTCTAGATAAGCCTAATATGAACATGAAAATCAAGTAGGATTTATAGAGTATTTTGCATGATAACCAAGAGATAAGAGAGCTGAAAACACTGGCCACAACTTTGAAGATTTGGCTGTAATTCCTAGATTATCAAAAGCACTCTAGAAAAACAATTGTTATCAAGAGCCAAGTCACGAATTATATTTTATAAAGTTCGTTGAAGGATTTATATTTTTGCACGCGTTTAAAAAAGGCGTTGAAGAGAGAAAAGTCGACTAAAAGATCTTTTAAGCCGGAGAAAGTTAGTTCAAGCAAGCGCTACAGTTTTTAAAATTGCATACGTGAGAGACGATATGGCTTTGTTGCTGGCTCGCTTGGTGGGCCATTAAGAAGTTTGGTCGTGTTTCTATCTTGCGCGCTAGGGGGCGGGTACCCTGTGGCGAGGCTTTCAGTTCAGAGCGGCGCTTGGAATTTTTGTCTGTACAAGAGCACGCAACTGTAGAAAAATGAAAAATAATAAAATAAAATAAATAAATAAAATATATGAGGAATGAAAATATAATCTTAGCTTAACGATGTGTAAACTAGAACTGCAGGCTAGATACTGATAGACTAGAGCTAGAACTGGACGTAAAAATTGATCAAATTTTTAACCCGCTTGACTTAGCTAAACTAATGCAAATAGATGGGCTCGACGTTTTTAATTGGTTCAGACGCTAACGAAAATAAAAGCAGCACGCGATATATTGATAGAATGACCTATTTAAAAAAAATTGAAATTCGAAGAGAAGTTGATGATGCTAAGTACTTAGGATGAACGGTTTGGAGAAGTGATGAAAACGATGTGGCAAAAATGAATGAATGATGTGAATGGAGCTGAAGACCTCTACGGGATATAGATAACGCTTAGGGGAGTAACAGCCGTGCTGTAATGGAAATTGACTAACACAATGCTTGAATATAAAAGGTTATTAAACTCAAGCTGGCATATAGTGCAAAGATCGGAAGAGAATAGTAAGGTTTGGTATGAGCAACGCACTCAATGAGCTTGTGAGTCACTCTCGGTATAACAAGGCTTCACTATACATGACACTTATAAATATATGTTAAATAAATGAATGGCGTTTAACAGCTAGTGGAATATCTAAAGAGTAGCTCTTCATCCACTGAATTCCAAAAATATAGAACTTTAATTTTGTGGAGAACCACGAGAAAAAATCTTCAAAGCACAGGAGAGAACCAATAAAAAATTCTGCTCACATATGATCGACACGCAGTCCCGTGTGAGTGCTTTCAAAGCACTTCTTTCGTAACGTATTTCAAAGTTGGTCCATTTTTACCACACGTGCGTTTCAATTTACTCTTTAAAAATATTACTTAATTTTGTAGATTATTGTAGTATCAACAAGGGTTCCTTCTAATGGTCCTATTAGACGGTGTTAACGAACCAGCGCGGTGCGAATAAGCTGTGACCGCACGGATCGTCCGTAATAATCAAACACCAGGTTGTCACTTAGTCTAACGTGATGGAGATGGAGATTACGTAATGATTTGGAGTCAACGAGATTGGACGCTTTGTTTCGAGTGGTTTTCGCGATCTAATGAAAAACAACGGCTATATAACAATGGCTATAAGTAAGACATTTTAAATGCAAGTAAGATGACTTTTCTGTTTAAAAAAAAATTGCGCAAGAGTAAAACAATACCTCAAGAGTTATGCGCGTGTTTACGAACGCGACCACGAATAACGCGCCTCAGGCTTTACACGCGGTTGCTACACGCGTTATAGCGGTTTTTCGCGGCATGCAGCAGATGGCTGATTTCGGCGATCGTTCGTCATTTATTTAAAACATAAAACGGCCAAGATAATTCATTGAAGACGCGTGGGGGCTGTACAGCTTGAAGTAGAGCTAAGATAGGGGTTTATCTCAATTTTAGCTTATTATTTTAGGAGTTAGTTGGGGGGTGCTTAACTGATTAGAGGAGATAACCAACAAACAGAATGTGGTAGAAACTAGTAAATAGCTCTGTAATCAGTTATGCTCAGTGAAATAGGAATATCTACGATTATTGAATATACTAGAAGATTGAAATTTTTGTTTAAAATCATTTTGACGCAAATGGTAAGCACTCAACTTAGATGTGATTAGATCATGAAAATAGAACGATGGGTTAGTTTGAGATAACACTGGTGTTCCCAGAGATCAATACTGGGACCTCCCGCTATCAAAGTGTCATCAATCATGCAGAGAAACAGCAGCAACTCGTCATAAAATAATCCGACGTGCTAGATTCAGACAGGACTGGCGTTCCCAGAGATCAACACTGGGACCCCCCGCTTCCGAAATGTCATACGCCATGCAGAGTAACAGCAGCCAATCGTTTGAATGGAGCAAGAATGGTAAGCAATAATGGTGATAGAACCGCACGAGGAAACAGACCTGATGTCAAGATAGTAAGACCACCTTCTGGTTCGTAATGGAACCTTACAATAAAGAAAGAAAAGAGAAAGGAAAAAAAAATATTATAAGAAAATGAATCCAAGAGGGCTAGAAAGAGAAATCTCCCGTTTGCTTTAAGATATCGCTAGTGAATTTGCGAAGAAAAAAAAAAGGATTGATAGGAAAAGCTAAGTGCAGGCAGAAGCTTAGTAAGCAATATGCATGCTATATGCAGCATACAAAACCTTCACCGACTTTTTTTAGAATTCTTAAAATAACTGCATACCTAGGAGAAGGGTGATTGCACAGGAAATAACGGGACAGTAGAGGAGAGGAGAGAGGTGGTCAGATGATCTAAATATTACGGAATCAAGTTTCAGGCATGCTACTTGAAGACTTCTGTATTTCAAAGTGGGACTGGAAGACAAAAAACAATAGAGACAACGGAAAGAAAAAAAGGATATAAAAAAAACAATTAAAAACAAAGTAAAGAGAAGAAACGATAAAGATTAAATAACAAAGTTAAAAAACAAACAAAAGGAAAAACAGAATTGATAAAAAATTTGAAATTCTAGGAAAACAAATAACCTCGACGCTTTTCTCTAAAGTTAATTATATTTCTTTACACGATCGTTGTGGTGACTTCTCACGGTGTGTTGTTTTTCAAACAAACTTCACAACCTTCGATCCCCTACAGATAGAATCTATTTTAGAGTTTCTCAAAATGGATAATTGCAGAAATGATTCAACACCCTGCGCGCTTCGATTATATTCACTATATCTAGAAAGAAAGAGTGAGCAAAGGACAAGGAACAAACGATCAAACGAAGGGGAAAAAGATAAATAAAAAACTTTGTTTTAGTTGCGATCACGATTACCAAACCAACACACACATATACGATTTTGAATCTAAGATCAATCAGCCCTTATCTAGTGGACTTGTTGTGGACCAATAGTAACCCAAGCAATCCTTTGGATTTTTCATGTTTTTTTTTTTCAGCCACAGATGACCTCAGGGTGGTCTACAGAATCGCCGCTGCGTTAATCTCATTTGAATGTGGCAAGGTTTTAAATTAGAAAACGTTAGTTTGATAAGATTTACCCAATGCTGGAAGGCCGAAAAGTCAATCGAATTTGTTTGATTTATGTGGCCGTCAATAAAACAATGGCCGATAATGCAGGGTTTTAAAAATGAAAATTAGAAAATTGGAATGGACGGTTGTTTGAGTGAGGGAAAACATCATTAGGGACAGACCATTAGATAGCTGATGGGGGGGGGGGGTGCGTAAATCCCCCAAAAAATATCGAGCAAGCACTTAAACCTCAAAAAAAATATCGTGCRACCTCTTCTGCTAGAAGAAAAATATCTAACTGTACGCAAAAAAATAACGTGAAAGGGTTGAGCCAAAAAAGAAAATATCATGCAACCAAAATTCCTGCAAACCCCACCCCCCCCCCCCCTGAATTATCTAATGGTCCATCCCTTACGAGAAAAAGCTGGGATAAACGGTCGATTTAAGAGGTCGATCGAGACGTGGTCGATAATGTGGTCGCTGTATATAATACGTATCTGAAAAGGATGACAATCTCGTGGTTGGACGGGGGGTTTACTGTGTCATAATTGTGTCGATTATGCGGTCAAGGTAAAACCTGGATTTTTTTACTAAAAGTTTCCTTAGGAAAAAGAAACTCTCTCATAATAGTATCCAGTTGTCCAAGGGCAACCTGGGCGTGGATTCGCGTAGTCTCGTCTTTATCACACGCTTCTACGATCTTTAACAAGTGATAAAGCTCTCGAAGATTGGAACTAAGAACCTAAAATATAAATGAAATCAGTTACATATATAATTAAAAATCGAATACAAATCTTCCTTGATGGTAATGTTTTCCAGCTTCAGATCACGTGTCATTCTCTTGAGAACAAGATTCTTTGTTTGAGTCGCATTCATATTTATGTGTCTTCTCATACGCAGGCGTTAGACAAAGAAATGATACTCTTTGGAATGACACGTGGTCTGAAATGAGAGAACAGAACGCCCAAGGTAAAGAGGTCTTTTTGCGTAGAGACCAGGTGGGCAGACGACAAAAGATAATCATCTCACTGGCGACGCAGGGACGAGTGTCCACAAAATACTTTTTAAATATAGCGTGTTTTTAAGTGGTTGGCAAATTATTTTAATGAACTTATCATGCGGTAATTCGGACGTTTTTAAAACTTAAGTTTATTTGTGTCTACATGGGAAATCTTTGATTTTTTTTCCTCTTAGGTAAAAATATTCGATTGGCGCGGTTTCCATGTATCCAGTTCCATGAAGTTTATTCTTTTGACACTGAAAGGCTTTGCTCGTCTTTCATTTTAATGTGTAATTCCAGAAATTATCCATACCCACCCCACTGAGGGATTTGGAATTTCCGAAGAGGGGGGGGGGGGGTATGGATAATTTTTGGAGCTACACAATGAAATAAATCCTTCAATTTTTTATAGATTTTCCGCGTGACAAGAAGCGAGATTGTTTGTTGTTGAAGCTGTTCATTATTGACGTTACTCGATGTTGGTATTTGTGATGTTTTGTTGCTGGAAGTAAATGAGTCTGTAATCAAGGAGCACAGCGGTAAACTATGAACTCCAAAAAGCCCTTTTCAAACTAATGAACTAATTACCTGGATAGAATCTTGGCCAAGCCCTTGTAACAGTAAAGTCAGAGCCAGCACTGCTGCCCTGCGCACTTGATCTGATTGGTCAGTTTGGAGAACAGAACTCAGACAGCTGAAAATCTAACAAACCACAGGAAGCCCAATTTCAATAAAAGTGCTAGACGAAAATAGAATCTGGAAAATAGATCATTTATTGGAGGGGGAAAATGCAAAAACATAATATTATATTCATTTTCGTCCTTTATATGTCCCTTATGGTGTCCTATGTAGAGTGTACTGTGTTTATTTTCCTGTTCCCTTGTAACATTAGCATTCTATTGATGGTTTTCAGTGCGGCCATGTTGGAGGACTTTAACAAATGAATTGTTAATGAATTCTTTTGCTATATCCTCCAACATGGCCGCCGTGTCTTTTGTTATTTAATTCTCTTGGGAATGGTTGAAAACCATCAATTCTCATAAGGAAATTTGCGAAGAATCACATCATTGTCAGCTGAACGTTGCAGGTCGTGTTTAAATCATGAAACATATAACAGATAACGGGATAACACATAATAGGATTTCATGGTTGTGCCCAACATTGCACCGTGTGCCTTAAGTTTCAAGAACTGACTTTAAGTTTGCCATTTCATTAAGCTCATTTATCAAGCAATTTTCAAAGTCCAATTTACATTTGGCCTCCATTTTGTAAAAGATATTTTATTTATGTGTTCCAGTGAAGGTCCATGGAATTTATAAGTGCTTTATGGGTAGCATGGGTGGCGTTCGCGGCTAACGTGTCGTCTTTCACCGCTGTGAGTCCAACGGGTCGGGTCGCTGGTTCGAGCCCTGCGGTCGCCACATATGAATTGAGTTTGTTTGATGTGTTGTTCTCTCCTATGCTACGAGGGTTTTCTCCGGTTTCCTCCCTCCGTTAATATCAACATGTGAGTTGAGCGTCGTGTGCATAGAATATTAAATATAGTGGTAGTGCGTGTGAGCGAAAAGTGTCCCCAATTAGTGCGAAAGCGCTAGAACGACTAGACACTTAAATAAAGTGATTTATTTCATTTTTGTGTTGGTGAAATTGGGCATTCTTTTTGACCGTTGGTATTTATAAGTATTTTGAAGCAGAAATGAGGCTAACCCTGAATAAATGAGCCTGTAATCAAGCAACACAGCGGTATTGCACGAATTCGATAAACGTCTAAAGCACGCAGGCGTTTACGTTTACTTTGTATAAAATCTTAGAGCATATGAAGATGTTTTATCTGTAATCATTATAACGACTTACCTCCTGGATGATGGGTCCAACAGAGTACCTCAATAGTTTACACATGTCCCCGATGTTAGACAGACTACTGGCTCGCACCATTTCGTCAGGGTCTTTTACACCTGATAGCAGTGAAGACATGAGGTGCTGGGAATATCTTGGAATCAGTTCTCCGCACTCTCTGACTGCTTTTACCAGGGCTTCTCCGAGCTTCATCTTGGTTTCTGGTGAGCGCTTGTAGTTGGCTTTTTAAAAAAATCAAAAATATAACGTCGTAAGGTAAAACAGTGTGTTAACTTCATTTTGATTAGCCCTTTCCTTATATAGAAGTATTTCTGTCTAGATTCCAAACGTTTGATCAAAAAACTAAGAAGCAACAATTATACAGCAACATAAGTACCGACAGCAACGACAATGACGAGTGACAATAACAGTAATGACTGCAAAAACGAGACCAGAAGCAGCAACAGCAGCAACAGCAGCAACAGCAGCAACAGCAGCAACAGAACAGAAGCAACAGCAGCAACAGCAGTAGCAACCACAACAGCAGCAGAAGTAACCACAACAGCAGCAGAAGTAACCACAACAGCAGCAGAAGTAACCACAACAGCAGCAGAAGTAACCACAACAGNCCACAACAGCAGCAGAAGTAACCACAACAGCAGCAGAAGTAACCACAACAGCAGCAGAAGTAACCACAACAGCAGCAGAAGTAACCACAACAGCAACAACAACAACAACAACAACGGCACAACAAAAAACAGCAGCAGCAGCAGTACCAACAACAACAATGACAACGAACGGTGCTTTCCTCGTCTCACCTGTACCCTGTTGTGCATTTCTACAAGTAGCAAACTCCCTCGCCAGGTATGGCAGAACCAACTCTGTCTTAACAGCTGCGAGTGCCACCATTCCCTGTATGGCAGCCAGGTATATATACGAGTCATCATGCGATAATTGGTCTGTGAAGATCTTGAGTAACGTATCTGCTTGGGCCAGTGCCTTTGGGTGTCTATTGTGGAGTAGCTTAGCCAGGGTTATCATGGCGTATCCTCGTACAGGGATTAGTGGGTCACAGAGCTCAGCAAATGCTTCGTCAAACTGGGTGTCGGATGATTGGTTTGGAGTATCCTTGGAAGAATCTAAAAAATACAAAAAAAAATGATAAAATTACTGGCAATGGCAGAACCAAACTTGATTAGATTAGGTAATAGTGTTATAATGAAGATGATGGTGATGACGATGCTAGAGCTGTTGTATCATAAAAGATGATGATGATGGTGTAATACAGTTGCTGATAGTGTGACAACGTTGATGATGATGATGATAGAGTGCACGCCATATATCCGTGAAACAATTACTAGCCAAGTACGTGTAACGCTTAAAAGTACTTAGTCCTCAACTATTTAGTCGTAAGACAGCAAAGAATTCACTCAGGCATGATCGACCAAACAACTCAGTGAAGAAGCGTACAAGAAGTATTTGATTTTGACAACTAATATGAAGCTGACCTTTATCAGAAACAAAGTCTTCCTGTGTTACTCTGTTCTTTTTGCCAAGATTCTCAGCCATCTCTTTCATCTGTTGGCTCCACACTGCCCCGTGCGTTGCTATGGCAATACGCAAATCATTCGCCATCTCTTTCACCTCTACATCAGGATGATGGGTGGAGAGTTTTTCTAGCAATGGAAGCAAATCGTGAAGCGAGCTTTTTTCTCTGGCTTCGACCTATGAAAGAATGAACAAAGTATATTGAAATACATAGGTGCATTTGATCATGTTCACATGTGAATTTGCACCATATAAGTAATAAATTATTATTATTATTATTATTATTATTATCATCATTATATGATTAGTTCTTAACAAATTATGATCTTGTAAATATTTATTTCTTATTGTCAATAAAAATTCATTAGTTAAAATTTATTATTATTATCATCATCATCATCATCATCATCATCATCATTATTATTATTATTATTATTATTTAGATCTTATTAACCGAGCGGGAGGTCTGTACGGGATAATCTTGACCGAGGTCTGTACCCGACCGAGGTCAAGATTATCCCGTACAGACCGACCAAGCTCGGTTGATAAGAGTTTTATTATATGACCACTTTTCTTGAAAAGGACAAAATGTTTTCGTCGTAAGATTAATATGCGATCGGACCGGTTAATACCGGAGAATCTAGACCAGTCCGCGATGCGATCTATCCAATCAGATTGCTCGATTTGCTAGTGTCCAGGCTCTAAGATTCACGGTCATATAATAATTATTATTATTAAATCTCGCTCGCTATTTTTTCCGTTGCAAACTCGAATTCAAGTTGTGCACTTCCGGTTACGATGGCTATAGAAGCTTTAGAAGCTTTACGAGCTCGCCTTTAGAAAGCCATCGTAACCGCAAGTGCACAACTTGAATTCGAGTTTGCTACGGAAAAAAATAAAATAGCGAGCGAGACTTGGAGCAAGCCTACCCTTCCCATGACGGCAGACAGCATTTCAACACCAGATATGGTCTACTCTGTTCTATATACAGTCAATTCAAAAAACGTTCTCGTCGACCAACTCAAGCCTACGCGACTGGATCAAAAGGGAACATGGGTAGGAATCACTGAAGCAATTGACTGCATCATTTGATGTGATTAGTTCTGCCTCGTGTTTACAGGACGAATCTTCGTAGGCAAGCGGGAAGTGCTAAACCCAAAGACCTTCATTTAATGGGTTATTTCTCGCCATTAATACCCTATTTCTAGAAGAAGCAATCAATTCAGAACGAATATTTAACCGCTTTAGTGATTTTTACCCATATTCCTTTCGGTCCAGTCGTGTAGTCTTGAGCCGGTCGACGACAACGTGTTTTTGAATCGACTATATCTCATATACTCAGGTATGGACTAACCTTAGAGGCCCCTCCCATGATTGCAGACAACATTCCAAAGGCCATAGTAAGGGTCTCTGATACAAGACCTCCTTCAAGCAAACCCTCTTCTGTCTCGCATAAGGCACATCCTCTTTGTAGAGTGGATTTAATGAATGCAAGCATTTGCTGAACATCCTTGAGGATGGATGGTCCAAGTTTGTCGCACATGAGGGCAAGCAAATGAAGAATTAGAAGGCTCCTTTGATCAGCACTGGCCTGTCTGTCGTACACTTGAAGATCTTCTGGTTCCTCTGAATAAAATATGCATACATCATGAAAGTGCAACAACTTTCTGGATTACTTCTTTTACCTAAGAAGTAGCATAGCTTATCATTCGGGGCCCGGTTGTAAGAAGCTTGGATAGCGCTATCCAGTGGATAAATCCTTATCCAGTGGATAAGTCGATGCTGTTATCTAATAAATTTATCCACTGGATAAGATTTATACGTTGGATAGCGCTATCTGGGCTTCGTACAACCGGGCCAAGCTATTTAGTAACGCACCGCACAGGAAATGCCGAGGGCACAACAGAAGTGAATGAGAAGCAGAAGCCTTAAGAGAGCATACTGTTCAGACTTTTCACTTGCTGATTTTCTTAGAGGGAGGAAAACCAGAGAACCCCGAGAGAACCCCTCAAAGCCCAAACTCTACTCATATGATACAAGTTATCAAAAACAGAAAACAGGGATAGTGTAGCGGTGAGAGTGCATGTCTCTCAGACCACCAATACAACCTGGATTCATTCCCAGACACGGTATGACATGTGACTTGAGTTTGTTGCTGGTTCTCTCCTGTGCTTCAAGGGTTTTTCTCCGGGTTCTCCAGTTTTCCTTCCTCCACAAAAATCAGCAAGTGAGATGAGTATTGTGTTGTAAATAATATACAATTATTGAATTCGGTTTTCTCATGACATTGTAAATTATCAAGACCGAGGTCTCGATAATTTACGAGATGACGAGAAAACCGAATTCAATAATTGTTTTATTTATACATTTTGTAAACTAAGAATAAAGATTTACTTCTGCTAACAAACTTAAGGTATTTCACTCTCAATTATGACCTCAAATGACCTTGACATGATAAATGTAATATCTACAGGAAAACCTATAGATATTGCATTTATGATGTCGAGTTCACAGGATATCAAGGATTGGCTGAGGGCCGTCGGCCAATGAGAAGCCAGATCGTGAGTAAAATGTATCATAATAAATGTAGTGGTAGTTCGTGTGGAGCGAACCTCACGGAAGAGCCCCTCATAGGGAATGATGATGGTAAAATATAAATTTACAAGATGTTCCAAACATACCTTCAGAAGATCCTTCCTCTTGAGACACAATATTGGTCAGCTCTTTCATCAAATGCAGAAAGAAATCCCCTGACAGCTTGTCATTGTTCAGGTTCACAAGTAGTTCAACTAGACATAGCGCTTGAACCTCATAATTCATCACCATGTCACCTGTCAGTCTTCCTAAGACATCATCAAATGATGCCGATGATTGAAGATCACATGACTTGATGATTATCCCACCACTATCACCATAACAAAACGTGTATTCATTTCTCATTAATTCTATGGGGATATCAGTGCCGCTAGACATGTCGCTGTTATGTGACTCACTCTCCAGTGGCTCACTATGTTTCCTCTTGTCATCTTGTTCCCCAGTGCACTTATTCGATACTTTGGCCGTAGGAATCTTTTTCTCTGACATTCGCTTACTATCATTGCCACTAACCCCACCCTCATCATGTTCGTCACTAAATGAATGAGGTGGCAACTCGTGATATACAAGTATATAAAGAGTCTTCAGTGCAAGTGTAGGTTCTATGTGTTTTAGAAACTGTAGCAGTATTTCTTGACAAGGAGATCTGAAATTATAATAATGTTTATTAGAAGTAGAATAGACTAATGAGTAAAGTAATAATAATAATAATAATAATAATAACTTTATTTGTCAGGGTTCACACCTTACCATGACTGATAATTTTCAGGTGGCCCTCGGGATTATAAAAGATTTACATATATGCATTATAAAGAATGTTATAAAAATGTATATATAAAAAGAGAAAGATAAAACTAGTTTTTTTGAAGAAAAAATTATACAAATAAGAAGATATGATATATATATATATTTAGAAAACTCATTAATAATTCATGAAGAAAACACAATAGAAATCATGACCATGAAGGTGATTTTATATCGGATAAAGATTCGTCTTCATTTGCATAAACTTTAACTTGGATTTTCTCTATCAAACTTGGTTCATTTCGTAAAAAAATCGGTACACAATGAGAACAAACATCATAAGTTTTCTAAGCCGTTCAATAATCTCGCAGATCGTGTTTTATTGGGTCTAAAACCACTCGGCTGCGCCTCGTGTTTTATACCCGATAAAACACTCCTGCTCGTTTATTAAACATTACATATATATATATATATATATATGTCTATGTAAAATAAAAATAAAAGTGACAAACTAATATACTAATCATGTGACTTACTAGAAAACAATATAATTATATGATAGGCAAAACTATTTGTCTAGAGAAAAAGGTTGATCATAAATTTCTGAAAAATGATAGTTAATAAGATCTAATTTTAAGTAGTCAAGTCTCATCCTCAAGTCAAGGGTTTTTCTCTGGGTTCTCTGGGTTCTCTGGTTTTCCTCCCTCTCCAAAACCTAAAAAGTTAAATTATGATTTGATGTGTGAGTTAGCCATGCCCTGACATAGATCAACCCAGAGGTTATTTCAGGGTATCAAAAACTTAAAGGTTTGACAGAAGGTTTTTATAGTTATAGTGGCAAATAAGGGGATCTCTCCTGTTACTCTAAACTCCACAAGACCTTAAGTCCTTTCAGACCCTGTGTATTCTCTTGAGAAAAGATTCTTCTTTTGAGTTTTATCCATATCAATGTGCCTTCTCATGCACAACCAATAGATAAAGAAATAACACTCGAGGGAATAGCAAGTGGAATAAGAATGGTAGAATTAAAATAAATGGGTGGATGGATGGATGCCCTAATCTTAGAGTGCAGCCCAAAGGATGATTCAGCCAGGGTTTCAGGGCCGTAACCAGAACTTTTACAGGGAGGGCGCACATCGAATAAAATCAGACCATTGATCGCTTTTTTTAAGAAAGCAGAACCAAAAAAAAAAAGGTAACCAAAAGAAAGTAGAACCAAAAAAAAAAAGGTAACCAAAAGAAACTGAACCAAAAAAAAAAAAGGAGATGGATGAGCAGACCTTAAGCTTTTATGGGGGGGTGCACGTGCACCCTGTGCTGCCCCCTAGTTACGACCTAGCTGGGTTTGATTAAAAAATTGAATTGCAAAAAAAAAGTTTTTAATTTGCAGTATAATATGTATGTAGTGTACCTGAGATGAGAAACACCCTTCCTTGTAAAGCAAAACAGTTGGAAAATAGGATGTACAACAGCAGTTAGGCAAAGAAGGAAAGAGCTTTGAGGATCTGATCCAACAACAAAAACCTACAAAATAACAAAGGGCTCAGTTTAATGTTTTGAAAACTACATGAGGCACATATAGACCTTATTCGTAGTGTCACAATGTTTTCCCACATCAGCGTGACGAACCTCCAGAGGATTCATATTATTTTATTTTTATTCTTCGAAAAATAATGAGTATCCCAAAGGATAGGAAAGGAATAACAATGATATCCCCACGAGTTTCAAAACGATAGCTATTCATTCCCCTAGAGGTTTGTCACGTTCAATTGGGAAAACTTTGTCACAAGAGGGTATATTGAGGCAGGGCTTAAAAAGATGGTTGGTCATGTGGTACCCATCATGCAGTGTATTAAGAAGAAATTCAAGTGACACATCTACTCTACTTGTTGAGCAAGCACATGCATGTTTAACCCAATATGGCAGATCCCTTCTGGCCAACTGTGCATGACACACATACATGAATATATTAACATATTAATGCAAGTCTATAGCAGGTCAGTCAACAGTCATGATCACCAGCCTCATCAGTCTTACCTCGTTGTGAGTGTGATTTTGGTAATATCATTAATTCAGTAAAATATCTTTTAGATGTTAAAGTTAAATTTAATTTTGTTCACAGTCCAACGATTAAGTCCTGGAAAGAACCTATCAGTCATAACTTCATAAAACTTATGGTCTCACTAAAATCTCCTTGACATTTTGAAGTTTCAAAGTCCAATTCTATGACTGTGAGTCGATCTCTGACTTTGATCAGTGCAGAGGTTGATTCAGAGTATATTGGTAAGATTTACAGTATTTTTGCAATGAGGCAAGTGTTTCAGTCAGCATTTACATGTATCTGCAGCTATTACCGCATACAGTACAGTAATTATGTACCTTATGGATGTCTTCAATACACTGTGTAAGAGCTGCCTCATCTGCAACTACTTGATTCAACTGGTGTGTCTGCCCTACAATCAATCAATAAGCAAACAAGAAAATAAATGTTAAGAAAAGAGGAAGACATGAAAGAAGGGAAGAAATGAAAGGAAGAAGGAATGAAAAGACAAATGAGCAAAAGTTAGAAATGAGCAAATATAATAATAATAACTTTATCAACGTCTCGAATACTTCTAGCCGGGCACAAGAGCCCTACTAATTGGGGAGACAGGAGAGAAATGGGGAAGAAAGAAACAATAGAAGGAAGGAAGAAAGGAAAAAAGGAAAAAAGGAATAACGAAAGGCCTTTCAAGCTAATCTGAGAAAAGATTTTTAGCAAATCAGAATGTGTGGTTCCAGAAATTATCCATACTCCCAACATGGAGGGAACTTGTAGAAGGACCCCTTATCCCCAGAAACTAATTGTTGTCCATAAAACTCTGTAATTTTGTTCTTTCTTTGAACCCCTCCTCTCCTCAATTCCTTCCCTCCTTCCCACAATCAAGAAAATTTGCAAAACAGAGGTGTCACTTTTCCTCTCAAAACCACGGATATCCGGGCCACCAAATGAAAAAWATGTTGAAAACAGTTACACAGTAATTAATGAGTTTCATATTTTGGCTGGCATGTTTACTTTTTTTGCGAGACAATTTTGGCAGGCTTCATGACACCTCAGTTTTGCAGCGACATTATCTCTAAATATTCATTTCATATCAGCTGGTTCTTACTAAACTGGCAGCAAAAACAAGATGCATTTTTTTATATTTTGTTTCTGTGTACTAAGCTAGATATTGGCTCACAGCCTATTGCATCACAAACATGACAAATACCCTTACACACATGCAACAGGCCAAATCAGTGGCGGATTCAGGGGGGTCGAAGGGGTCCATGGAACCCCCCTTTAAGGTTTGATCTTTTAGGTATATATAAATTTCAATAAAGAAATAGTTTTGTGTTGGGTCGTGTTATTATAGCTTGGTCTGTTACTAGATAGTAAATGAGGTGATTAGAGCCAATTTTTTTGTCAAACATCGACTAAACAAAAGAGAATTATACACAGTTTAAGAAACGGAACCCCCCTTTGAAAAATCCTGGATCCGCCACTGCAAATAAATAAGTAATCAAAACAAACATCAATACATACGAAACAGCAGAGGGTCAAAATAAGAAAGAACAACTGATAACAATAATAATAATTAATAGAAGCTGAAATGAGTGCTGAGTGAATTGTGTGAAGTGAAATTATATCTGTATCTTAGTGATCAACACCTTGTGTCTCTGCTTCCTAATACACTGTACTTTACCTGGTATTTGTGTTACCCTCAACAATGGTGTCATCATCTTTTCCAGGAGGTATTTCTTGCAGAGACTAGGGTGTTGTTTTGCCATAGTTTTAACAGCACTTGACGCAACACGCACAAACTGTTTACCAAGCTCTGCATTTGTTATGTGTAATAAATTCAACACCTGGGAAGATATATTATAGTAAGTGTATGAGAATATATATGATATACTGTGAGGATCAGCTCAATTTGATACATGTAAATATATAGTAAATATGGCATAAGTAAGTTATTTGACAATATCTTTTATCATATACAGTCAATGTCATTAACGTTGTCCACC